CCTACACTGCGCCGACGGGAGGTCTTACGGAGCGTCGTGAGCCTGAGTCTCGTCCTCCGTCGCCTGAGACGCGTCCAGAGTCGCCTGTCCGCGCTGTCCGCGCTGGTCGTCGTGTTCCACGTCAGCGTCCTCCTCCTGTCCTTGGCACTCACTATATGACCCTGCGTCCCTCTACTGCTCCACAGCGTGTCCCACTGCCGTCTCCACCAGCGTCCTCTCTTCCTGCTCTTGCTGACCCGGTGTCTGACTCTCTTCGTGCTGCCAGTCCTACTGTCACGCGTCTCCTTGCCACTGCTGTCACTGACCCTTCCTTTGAGTCCTCTGCTGCGTCTGCTCTAGTCGCTGAGCTTGTTGACTTTGCTGCTGCCTGTCGTCTAGACTACGCCGCTAGCCTTGTTGCTGAGTCTGAGTCTGAGTCTGTCTGTCCTCCATTTGTCGGGGGTGAGTGTGCTCTTGGCACGGACGTCCTTGAGGACAGACAGGAGGAGTTTGAGTGCTTTGCCGCTGCTTTGCCTCATCTCGTGTCCATGCTAGTTGCCCCTGAGGGAGACCCGGATGCACCAGACATCCCGACCCCACGCTCCTACGCAGAGGCGATGGAGGGAACCTACTCCTCTCAGTGGCAGACAGCCATGGACGCAGAGATGGCATCCTGGAAGTCCACAGGCACCTACGTCGACGAGGTTCCCCCGCCTGGGGCGAACATCGTCAGTGGCATGTGGATTTTCAGGGTGAAGCGGCCGCCGGGTTCTCCGCCTGTCTTCAAGGCGCGTTACGTTGCACGAGGCTTCAGTCAGCGAGAGGGAGTTGACTTCTTCCAGACCTTCTCCCCGACCCCGAAGATGACCACTCTTCGGGTTCTGCTGCACGTCGCTGCTCAGCGTGACTACGAGCTCCACTCTCTTGACTTCAGCACTGCGTTCTTACAGGGCAGCCTGCACGAGGAGATCTGGCTGCGCCGCCCACCTGGCTTCACTGGGTCGTTCCCTCCTGGTACCCAGTGGAGCCTCCGGCGGCCAGTCTACGGTCTCCACCAGGCACCCCGTGAGTGGCACGACACACTGAGGACTACTCTTGCTGCTCTTGGGTTTGCTCCTTCTATTGCTGACCCGTCGCTGTTTCTACGCACCGACACCACTCTGCCGCCGTTCTACGTTCTTGTTTACGTAGACGACTTGGTCTTTGCTACTGCTGACACTGAGGCACTCGCCCACGTGAAGTCGGAGCTGCAGAAGAGACACACGTGCACAGACCTGGGTGAGCTGACAAGCTATCTTGGCTTGCGGATCACCCGGGACAGAGCACAGCACACCATCACCTTGACTCAGTCACACATGGTGCAGCAGGTCCTTCAGCGCTTCCGCTTCACGTACTCCTCGCCTCAACCCACTCCTCTGCCTACCGGTCACTCGCTCTCAGCTCTGCCTTCGGATGAGTCCGTAGAGCCGAGTGGCCCGTATCCAGAGCTTGTGGGCTGCCTCATGTACCTGATGACCTGCACTCGACCTGACCTGGCATACCCTCTTAGCATCCTAGCACGCTATGTCGCTCCCGGCCGTCACCGGAAGGAGCACATGGATGCCGCTAAGAGGGTGTTGCGCTACTTGTGCAGTACGTCGGGCATGGGGCTCGTGCTTGGAGGTCGGAGCGACGTTGTCCTCACGGGTCACTCAGACGCTTCTTGGGCTGACGACCAGGCTACGCAGCGGTCGTCTCAGGGTTACACCTTCAGCCTTGACTCTGGTTCAGTTTCTTGGCGTTCTACTCGCTCTTCTTCTGTTCTCAGCTCCACTTGTGAGGCTGAGATCTACGCCACAGCCATGGCTGCACAGGAGTTACGCTGGCTCACCTACCTGCTGACCGACCTGGGAGAGCGGCCTCGTTCTCCTCCAGTGCTGTACGTTGACAACAAGGCCGCCATTGCCTTGTGTGAGGAGCACAGACTGGAGCACAGGACGAAGCACATCGCTCTGCGCTACTTCCTTGCTCGAGAGCTGCAGCAGCGTGGTCAGCTTCGTCTGCGTTACGTGGCCACTCGGGCCAACACTGCTGATGTGTTCACCAAGGCGCTTCAGCCTTGTGACCATCAGCGTTTCTGTACTGTTCTAGGCCTTGTGCCTACTCTCCCTCACTTGCTCACTTCTTGACTCTGCTTGTACTGTGATCTCTATATATATATACCTGCATGTTTACTCTTGTTAGGTTGTGATCACTGTACCTCTTGTTATATTATCAAACTGCATGTGAACTGGTCTTGTGACCACTTGCTTGTGCTCGGAATTTGTGTGGTTTCCTTGAGATCCACCCTGAGCTTGCTTTGCTTTGCTTTGACTGGTCTTGTGACCATCTGGTTGTCTCCCACTTAGCCTATGGGGGTGTGTCAAACATTATACATGTTCATATTGTGTAGGCTATAGTGGGTTTAGCCTTAGGGGGTACAACATTGCTAGGGTTTCCTACTTGTATCACCCTGCTGCCTAGTTTCACACATTCTCGTTCAGTTCTACATTCTAACAATAATCACTATTATAGCAAGCATCTTACGGACACTCGGAAAAAAACAAATCTAGCCTGACTATTTAAAAACTGTTATTTAATTATCTGTTCATACAGTTTATATCATGCCTTGAATGCATTTTTTAATATATAAAAGGTTTTTTTATGCAAATTTTATTGTCTATCATATGCAAAATTAATATTGTTCAAATTGATATTGAACATTTTGTAACTAGGTCTAGCTCCAATTCCTAATATTCTGAAATATAATTTTGATAGGGTAGAATATTGTTTCGCAAAATAATTATCACTAGGATAGCTTTTCCGTTTGACATTGTGTGTGTGTGTTTTTTTGTGGTGTTTGTTTGATAGTTAATGATTTTTGTTTCTTTGTTTGTTTTTATTTTTTTATAGATTACGAGTTACCATATCGCGGTTTTACTGTCAGGTATTGTAAACGTCGCTACTATAAACAGAAATGCGCATTCTGTGGGGTACACGTTGACAGTCAGTATCGTTTCGCTGAGTCAAACCTGACTTGTACGGTGTACAGTTTGGTTGGAACGCGAAGTTACCAGCCAGGATTTCCGGATGCACTGTTCGTTACCATGCATGCAATAATGTTGACCATCTGGGCATGATGGTTACCATCGTGGCGATAAGAAGACATCTCTGTTACGATTTGGACACGTGGATTACGTCGCGTGCGATCGAGCTCCAAGAGTGTTACCGCTAAGATAAATGCCCCTCTCGTTTTGTCTGACCAATCTAACCGCCTGTTGGGCCGAACAAGAAACCTCTGTATCCTGGCAGTATACACGTGCACAGTATTTGCACACTCACATTTTTGTACATGAGAGTTACATAGAGCATATAGCTGGTTACCTACCCCACTTCCCCCCTATAAATGAATGAAACTGGCCCAGAAAGTGGCCTCATGGATATGAAAGCCCAGGTCACACTCACATTTTCCTACTCTTAGTCCCTTTCTGCCCGAGGCGAGGTTGGCAGAGGAAGGCGGGAACATATTTTGGTTCATTTCGGTCTAGTTTGGTTACAGGTTTAGTTTCGATTCTACTGAATGGATGGTAAGGGTGAGTGACGTGTAGGACGACTAGCACGTGTAGGACGACTGTAGGCTTCGATGATACCTTTCGTTCGATGCACGATAGCGTCCGCGTTACAGTTCCGTTCTCCCCATATGAGAGCTCCCAGCACGGCAATGCCCACGACTGCACTAGGCCCCTCCGCGAGACTGCAGTAGGCTACCGCCGTACCCTAGGTATCGCCGTGCGGCCGCCAATAAATCTGCCAACTCTTTTCTCGCTGAAAGGAGAGAGGCTTCAACTCATTCAGGTCTTTCCCCGTCGCTCGTTACTGTTCGTGAAATCTGCTTTGTTTTCCAGGCAAACGACAGCGTTCACTGTTTGCAATATCCGATGATATTGATGGACCACAGTCACTCACGGCGATCACGCAAGTCCCATTTCCCTCTTTCAATTGTCTGCTTTGATGGATCACGCACGGTCACAGAGGGCATTTCAGCCACCGAGCCGATGCGAAATATAGCACCGTCATACACCTAGTCCGCGGTATTTTAACCACGTGAACTGTTTTGCTTCAAACACCCTTTGTTCATTTTCGGGTAATGAGATGGGCACCCAGAGACTTCAAGGCTATTGTTTCCCAGCCAGAAGCATTTCATTATAGAGAAACTCACACTTAGTGCTCCGAAATAGAGGGCGGATCGGCATTGACCAAGTTTTGACTGCCGTCGCCTCATAAAGGGTATGCTAGATTCTACCCTCAATAAATTTCAAAGCTACTCGTATAAAAAAGTTTGACCAAGGAGAAGTACCCTCGCGCGGTTAAGATAGCGGCGGTTAAAATACCGCGGACTAGGTGTAGTAGGGTAATCTACGCAGCCAATGACACATCGCACGTACTACAGTACATGGTTTAGGGTGAGGACATATGACAGCTGTCACGACAGTACCCGACACCTTGAAGGTGAGGAGTGGGGTGTCGCTAGTGCCTTTTGTCGCTTGTACCCGGCGCAGCAACTCCTTCGTTCGAAGACTTCGCTCGAAGTCAAACTCGCAAACTCGCAAGGTGACAAGCGCATCACCATGATACACCAGCGCGCCGCGTTCCCACCATGTACTCAAGGGGGCCCTCCCCCCTCTCCCTTCCTGCCCTCCTCGCGTCTATCGTGCCGAGATCGGGTCGGTGGCTTGTGGATCAAAGCACCGTCGTGGGGTAATCGACGCAGCCAATGGCACAGCTGGTTATCCGCGGAATATCATCACGGCTGGTACTACCCGACACCTTGAACGGGTGGTGGGTGTGTCGCCTCGCCACTGGCAGTGCCTTTTCGTGTTCTGCACGGCGCGCTTCGAAGCAGGCGGTGCAGAAGGCAAGCCACCGCGCATTCCTGTCTGTAGTCAGGTGTGATCTTGACTTCGCTTGCAAACTCGTGTGGTTCCTACCAACCGCGACAACACATGACTTTTGTCTTTCAATGGTCCCCCATATCCGCCTTCCCGCCCTCTCCCCTCGTTGGCAACGTCTATTGCGGGAGCGAGGCGAAGGTGCGGGCGGGGGGGAGTGGATGGGATCCCCTCAGCCCAAGCAGAGGGAGTGAAGGGGAGGGGGACGGTCAGTGTCTGTCAGATCGTACATAAGCCGCTCGCCTCTCCTTCCACACATCGTCGCTCCTTCCACTCCTCTCGTGACCACGACTGAGCCCTCGGAGGCTCATCTCCTCTCATCGGCGCAGCAGTGCTGCCGCTGGTGCTTCCAGCCCTTCTCGCCCCACCTGTTGGCTGCTGCGGGAATCATCACCGCCGTCACCACCATGGCTTCGCACGGCGTGCCTGTGACGCGGAGCTTTGGCCTCCTGCTCGCTGCGTTGGCTGCACTCATGCTCTCCGGTATGCTCTCATGCTCTTGGATATGCTATCAGGTTTTTTCCCCTTCCCGCGTTCCCCCTTTTCCGTTTCCCCCGTCCACTTCTGCACCTGAGCTTACCGTTCGCCTGCCAGAGTAACACCCGCTGATGCCATCCATCGTCTCCGCTCCCCTCCTTCCCTTCTCACCCCCATTCTCGTTCCGTTCTCCCCCTTTCCCCCCTTTTCTCCCCACCCCGCCTTCCCCCACCCCTCTCCCCCATCCGCTCACAGCCTGTGCGCCCAGGGCTGCCGCCATTCGCCTGCCAGCTCCAAGCAACGCCGCCGACCGTAAGTCAGCAGCCTAAGAGTCCACACCCTCAAACGCACCTTTGCCCGTCTCCTTGCCCTCAACACCCCAAAGGATATGACGGACGCTCACCCCTCTTAGCCCTCCTACTCACCACTCACCGCGCCTAGCGCCGACCTTTCTATTCACCCTGCCCATCCGTACCCCATTCACTTCGCCTTACTCCAGTCTTGTCTTGAACCATCTTACTCGCACCTCTCTTTACTCTCCACGTGTGGACGCTCCGTCTCACCTCCCTTTTCGTCTCCTCGTTTTTCCTCTATCCCTTCCTTTCCTCTCCGCTCATCTCCGTTTCTTCCCTCCTGGATCCTCTCTTTCCCACTGGTCACTTTGGCGGAAATACCCGGCAGATTCGTGTGTGCAGCGGAACTGTGGCGCCAACGGCAAGTGCGTCAAGAACAGTGCTGGAGCGGCGTCCTGCGTGTGTGACACTGGCTACGTGCTGCAGGCGGATGGCAGGACGTGCACTGGTACGTGCTGAACCCGTGCTGCTGTGTTGAGGAGCTTCTATCATGTGCTGCTGTGCTGAATCCATGGCCAGTGGACCTATTTTGACATCCCGTTTCTCGTTCAATCCGGTCCGTCCCCTTGTGTCAGATGTGTGTACCATCAAGAACTGCCAGGGCGCTGATGCCAATTCCACTTGTGTGGCGGCTGGGAACCTTGCGACCTGCGTGTGCGAGACTGGATACGCCATGGCAGCAACAGGCAAATGCACTGGTGTGTTCGCCGGCTGTGTTGTGCCCTAGCGCACCCTTCATTTCACTCTGTGACTCTGTGACGTGTGTGTTTGTGGTGTGTGTGTGTGTGTGTCTGTGTCTGTGTCTTTTATTTTTTAAAGCTCTCCACCCTTACTCTCCTCTCTCTCCCCCACCCCTCCCGCACCCAGACACCTGCGAGGTTCAGAACTGTGGCGTCAACGGCAAGTGCAACAAGGACACCACTACTGGAGCGGCGTCCTGCGTGTGCGACACTGGCTACGCGCTGCAGGCGGATGGCAAGACGTGCACTGGTACGTGCTGAACCCGTGCTACTGTGTTGAATCCACTGGAGCGTCTGTGTGCTTCTCTGCTGAATCCACGGCCAGTGGCTCTCTTGTTCTCTTTGCTCTCTCTTTCAAGGACCTATTTTGACATCTCGTTTCTCGTTCAACCTGGTCTGTCCCCTTGTGACAGATGTGTGTACCATCAAGAACTGCGAAGGCTCTGATGCCAATTCCTACTGTGAGAAGGAAGGGAACCTTGCGACCTGCGTGTGCAAGACTGGATACGCCATGGCAGCAACAGGCAAATGCACTGGTGCGTTCAGTAACAGGCAAACGCACCAGTGCTACAGCCGGATGGCAAGACGTGCAACCCACCTTTGAAGACCGACCTGGATCCCCCACCCGGTGGGTGATGCTAGCTTCAAGTGCTGCTGTGCTGCCTCCGATGCCATTTGTTTCGCTACTACCATGTGGTGTTCCCAACATCTCGTGCAAAGCATCTTGTCGTCTTCAATCTTGAACCTCACTACCCCTCATTTTACGTCCCACCCCTCTATTCTCTGCGCCGCCACTTGCGCGGGCAGCTGTTATCTAGCGCGTGCAGTTGTGTGCTGTTGTGCTGCCTCTAGCGCGTGACGGTAGCTCCTGCTGTTGCAGAGTTTTCTCACGCCGCCTTGTGCATCCTCCCCCCGTGCCCCTCCCTCCTGCCTGACTCATTTCTTGTTCAGTCGTATCTCGGCTTGGTGTGTTACAGCGTCATTTTCCTACTCAGCTGTGTCACGATATGTTTCTTTCTACATCCACCCATCTCTGGTCCCACTGTTCGTGTCTCGGTCTGCCACGTTCCTTCACCCCAACAGAAAACCCCCCCTCAGCTGGGTGCAATCCGAATCCCTGTATGCTGGGACTGTCATACTGCGAGGACTCGCCGCGGGGTGCACTTTGTGTTTGCATGCCCGGACTCCCAGGCTTTATTGCCGAGTCTATCGGCTGTATCGGTAAGCTCCACGCGTTGACATCCCTTGCTCCACGCGTGACATCCCTTGCTCGACGCGTGACATCCCTTGCTCGACGCGTGACATCCCTTGCTCCACGCGTGACATCCCTTGCTCCACGCGTGACATCCCTTGCTCGACGCGTGACATCCCTTGCTCCACGCGTGACATCCCTTGCTCGACGCGTGACATCCCTTGCTCGACGCGTGACATCCCTTGCTCCACGCGTGACATCCCTTGCTCCACGCGTGACATCCCTTGCTCCACGCGTGACATCCCTTGCTCGACGCGTGACATCCCTTGCTCGACGCGTGACATCCCTTGCTCCACGCGTGACATCCCTTGCTCCACGCGTGACATCCCTTGCTCCACGCGTGACATCCCTTGCTCCACGCGTTGACATCCCTTGCTCCACGCGTTGACATCCCTTGCTCCATGCGTTGACATCCCTTGCTCCACGTGTTGACAGGAATCAATGCTCTCTCTCTCTCTCACTCTCTCTCTCTCCCTCTCTCTCTCTCTCCCTCTCTCTCTCCCCTCTCTCTCTCTCTCTCTCCCTCTCCCTCTCCCTCTCTCCCGGTTCGTTCCATCCCTTTCAACTCTTGCCTTCCGACAGTGAAAGCCTCGCCCCCGGACGTTGAAGAACCTGTGCCAGATCCTGTACCTGGTGGGTGATGCTAGCTTGATGTGCTGCTGGCTGCCTCCACTGCCAATAGTTTCACTACTATCATGCATTCCCAGCGTCTCGTGGAAAGCATCTTGAACCCCACTACCCCTCACTTCCATCTCGTGTAAAGCATCATGTCCCTTCCACCCCTCCCCTCTGCGCCGCCTCTACCGCGTGCAGCTGTCATCTAGCGCGCTCAGCTGTGTGCTGTTGTGCTGCCTCACGCGTGTGGCGGTAGCTCCTGCTGTCGCAGAGTTTTCGCATGCCTCCTCGTGCATCCCTTTCGTTTTTTTTTTTATCTCTCGTTCAATCCATCCCCTGCCCCTCCTGCCTGAATCCCATTTCTTGTTTGTATCTCGGTTTCGTGTGTTACAGTGTCATTGTCCTACTCAGCTGCCACACGATATGTTTCTTTCTACATCCACTCACCCCTGGTCCCGCCATTCGTGTCTTGTCTGCCATGTTCTTTTACCCCGACCTTCCCAGATCCATGCGAGGGGAACTGTGTGCCGGGACAGTCACACTGCGTCACCACACCAGAGGGTGCTTATTGCGTTTGCAACCCCGGAAACGCCATCGATTGTCTTCCTGGTAAGTTCCACGCGTTTCAAGTTTTCCTGTTGAGGAATCAATGCAAGTTGAACCATCGTACTGCCAACTCTCACTCTCACTCTAACTCTCTCTCTCTCTCTCTCTCTCTCTCTCTCTCTCTCTCTCTCTGTCCCCTTCTCTCTCTCCCTCTCCCTAAACCCTAAACAGAGTATCTCTTATAATTGCCGTGAGGCACATCCGCTCCCGTGATAACACGTCAACCATGCCGGCACATCCTCATTGCGCTCGTGACGCCACACCCTATCGCATGTGACAGCCCACCCACATCAGCCAGCCCACCCGCATCAGCCAGCCCACCCGCATCAGCCAGCCCACCCGCATCAGCCAGCCCACCATCATCAGCCAGCCCACCCGCATCAGCCAGCCCACCATCATCAGCCAGCCCACCATCATCAGCCAGCCCACCCGCATCAGCCAGCCCACCATCATCAGCCAGCCCACCCGCATCAGCCAGCCCACCCGCATCAGCCAGCCCACCATCATCAGCCAGCCCACCCGCATCAGCCAGCCCACCCGCATCAGCCAGCCCACCATCATCAGCCAGCCCACCCGCATCAGCCAGCCCACCATCATCAGCCAGCCCACCCGCATCAGCCAGCCCACCATCATCAGCCAGCCCACCCGCATCAGCCAGTCCTTGTCTTCCCCTACAGCCACTCCCATCATCCCATCACCTACTCTTGCAGCAGTTATTTTTCTTGCAACCTCTTGCATGCCAAGAGGTTGAAGGCGTAAATTGTGTGTTTGGGACCGCCCCTGCTTGAGTGCCTCTGGAAAGGAGGGGAGCATGGAGAAGTTACAAGGGGGCAAGATAGGTTTCCATGCGCCAGGGTACAAGGCCTTAGCTGCACGGGGCTTTTCTTGTTTTCTGGTTGCTTTTAGGTGATTGTGGTGTGTGTTGGTTGCCAAAGTAATTTTGCTTCTGTTGGTTTTTTGTGGGGTTGGTTTCAGCTATAGTACCATCTCAATAAGGGAATGTACCCCTCAGAGTACATGACTAGCTAGTACTGCTTTGTGCTCTTACCTATAGTATTTGTTTTCTTTGTATTGCTCGCTAGATTGATGTTCCTGAGGGAACATTCCTGGCCAGTCTCAAGCTCCGGGCCAAGTCTACTTGGTGTCAGGCTCCACAGGGAGATCTGGCACGAAAAAACGATTTTGCCCCATGCCTGTCTATTCCACCTCGTGTCAAGCAGCCTGGCCCGAAGTTTGACACGGGTCAAGAACGGTACCCTGATTCACCACCAAAGAATACTAGCAGCATTGCAGTTGCTAGTTTTCAATCATGCCGGTCCTAACGTTCCATACCTTGTAGGAAACAAATTGTTGAAATGGGATGGGTGAACTTTAGAGGGGCATTTTCTCAGAAGTACGATAGCGGAATGGGATGACACAAAGTACTAAGTACTTCCTTTGCCAAAGTATTGTCAAACTGTCATAATGTTTATATTGTGTAGGCTGTAGTGGGGTCGCCCATAAAAGGTACAACCCAATTAGGGTTACCGTACTTGTACTTTCTTGTCAATGCATTCATTCTCGTTCAGTATTCTGACATGGTTTCAGAGCAGGTCCTGTTCCAGGACCGTTTTTTTGGCCCCCCGAATAGTTCCCTACCCGTAGCGCGTTACCCTGTTCGTAGCGCCCTACCCTGCCCGTCGTGCTGCCCCACCAGTCGCACTGCCCTGCCCTGCCTGTGCGCCGCCCTGCTGGCCGCCGCGCCGCCCTGCCCTGCCCGCGCGCCGCCCTGCTGGCCGTCGCGCCGCCCTGCCCTGCCCGCGCGCCGCCCTGCTAGCCGCCGCGCCGTCCTGCCCTGCCCGCCGCGCCGCCTTGCCCTGCCCGCGCGCTGGCCGCCACGCCGTCCTGCCCTGCCCGCGCGCCACCCTGCCCTGGCCGTGCGCCGCCCCGCCCTACCCTGCGCGCTTCCCTAGTGCCCGCGCGCCGCCTTGCCCGTTGCACCGTCCTGCTGCCTGCGCGCCACCCTGCCTTGCCTGCGTGCTGCCCTGCTGGTCGCGCGCCAACCTGCTCTGCCGGCTATGGCTTCTCTCAGTGTTCTCACCTTCGATGCTGAGGGCCGTCCGATCCAGTTTGAGACCTGGCTAGACGACTTACATCTGTACCTACAGAGCGAGTCTAGGGACGGCGTCTCCTTGGTAGACCACACGTCTGGGACCTCTCTCGCTCCTCCCGAGACAGTTGAAAGTGCGACTCGCTCACAGTGGCTTACCTGTGACGCTACTGCTCGCCTAGCCGTTCGCAACCACCTACCGTTAGCCGAACGCACGCATTTTGGTCAGCACAAGACTGCCAAAGCACTGTTCGACGTTGTAGTCACTCGTTACTCCTCCCCTGCCACTTCTGCTCTCGGCCGTCTTATATTGCCCTACCTTTTTCCCAAGCTGTCAGCCTTTGCCACAGTCGATGACCTCATCACCCACCTTCGCACTAGCGACACTCGCTACCGCGCCGCCCTTCCAACCAAGTTTCTAGACAAGAACACCCCACCCATATCCATCACTCTCTACTTCATCGTCACCCGCCTCCCTGACTCTCTTCGCGCAGTCAGTTACCTCCTTCTCGCCCTTGACCCCACATACCTCACTGTCGACCTGCTCGAGAAGCACCTCCTTGCAGCTGAGACCAACATAGTCGCTGTAGGCGCTTCTCGTGGCACTCATCGCACTCCCTTCTTTGAGGGGTGTTCCCCCTCCCCCCTTGTCCCCTCTGTCGCTTCTGTTGCTGCTGTTGACTTCCTTCGTGCTGAGGAGGTCGGGGCTGCATGTGCTCCTAGTGGGAGGCGCCGCAGCGGCAAGGGCAAGGGAGGCAAGGGAGGCAAGGGTGGTGGGGGTGGCAGCGGTGGAGGCGGTGGTGGAGGCGGTAGAGGCGATGGAGGTGGCGGCGGTGGCGGTGGGAGTGGTGGTGGGAGTGGGGGCGTTGCTGGTGGCGGTGGTGGTAGCGGTGGGAGTGGTGGCGGCGGTGGTGGCGGCAGTGGGAGTGGTGGTGGCGGCGGTGGTGGTGGTTGGGGTGGAACCGGTCAGAGGG